CCGATGCAGCGATCACATGTAATGTCTCAGTCTTCCACGGGGATTCCTCTATATTATTTGACCCTGGTTCTACTTATTCATATGTGTCATCGTATTTTGCTCATTATCTGGATATGCCCCGTGAGTCTCTAGTTTCATCTATTCATGTATCTATGCTGGTGTATCTTTTGACTCTTTTGTCTGATTCAAATTTATAAGTGCTTTCATTTGGATTCAACAAAAAGCTAGTTATATAGACAAATCATGTGTTTGATATTGGAAGTTTGATATTGTAATATGGCCAAATTTTCATGATATTTGTCATGACATAATATCAATTATAACAAATTTGTGGTTCATGACATTTGACATGACATAACATCCATTATAACAAATTTGTGGATCATGACATCTACCATGACATAATATCCATTATTAGGCCAAGGATTTCTTGCTATAAATAGAGGAGTTTCTCCTCATTTGCAAACACACCAATTCAAGAGCTTTTCACTCTTGTCTTTCTTTCTCCTCCTTTATTTCATTATAGAGTATTTTGTAAGAGAGTGAGTGTTGGGAAACACTTGTGTGAACCCTTTCTTTGGAGTGATCTTGTGAGGTTATTCTCTTGGGGTATTTGGGATTAATTAGAGTATTTACTCTAATTTTGTACTCTCTTTTGTACTCTTGTTGGTATAGTGAAATTGCTCCTCTCCGCTTGTGGACGTAGGTCACCTTGACCGAACCACGTTAAATTTGTGTCTTCTTTATATTCTTTAATTGCCGTTATTATCACCTTCCATTGTCTTTGTTATTGTCATTATACCGTTGTTTGGCTAAATTCCGCACTACCCGGGTTCCCGATCCTAACAAATTGGTATCAGAGCCAGATCTAACCGGCCAAAATGACTCTAACAAAGTCTTATGTTGAGAAATTTGACCGAAGTGCAAACTTTGGAATGTGACAATTAAAGATGGAAGCTATCCTAATTCAGGATGGCTTAGATTTGGCACTGCAAGGAAAGGAGAAGATGCCGGATAAAATGACGGACGAGGAGTTTGCCGTCATAGACAAAAGGAAAAAGCATGTATTATTTTAAATCTTTCAAATGAGGTTTTGCGTGATGTTGAAACAGAAAGCTCAGCCAAAGGCATATGGGAAAAGTTTAAAACCCTATATATGAAAAGAACAGTAGAAAACAGACTTTACCTAAAGCAAAAACTNTTCATTGCTGCTAAGAATTTAATAGAAATTCACAATTTGAAAAGTCAGCTGAAAAGTGAATTTGAGATGAAAGATTTGGGAGCAGCTAAGAAAATCCTTGGCATGGAGATCAAAAGAGATTGAAAAGCCAACAGGCTATTTCTGACCCAGAAGAAGTACTTGGAGAAAGTCTTGGAGAGGTTTGGCATGAAAGATGCTAAACCAGTTAGTACCCCTCTTGCTGCTCATTTTAAGTTATGAGCTGCTCAGTTCTCGCAGTCAGAGGAAGAAGAGAGGTACATGGCACAGGTTCCTTATTCCAGTGCAGTCGGCAGTATTATGTATGCAATGGTTTGTACACGTCCAGACATTTCACAAGCAGTGAGCATGGTAAGCCGGTATATGGCTTGCCCTGGTAAAGCACATTGGCATGCTGTGAAATGGATTCTCAGATACTTGCGAGGTACTTCAAACACATGTTTGGAGTTTGGGAGAAATACTAACACTTTGGTTGGTTTTGTAGACTCAGATTATGCAGGTGATCTTGACAAAAGAAGATCACTGACAGGCTATGTATTTTGCATCGGGGGTTGCGCTATTAGTTGGAAAGCTACATTATAACATGTAGTAGTTTTATCTACTACCGAAGCAGAATATATGGCAGTGACCGAGGCGATCAAAGAAGTTTTATGGTTGAAGGGTCTATTTGCGGAAATCAGTTTACACCAAGATGGTATTACCATTTTCTGTGATAGTCAAAGTGCCATTCACTTGACTAAAGATCAAATGTATCATGAGAGGACGAAACACATTGATATAAAGTATCATTTCATCCGAGAAACCATTGCTGAAAGAAAAGTCTCTGTTCAGAAGATCAACACTAAAGACAATCCTGCTGACATTTTCACAAAACCTCTTCCAGTATCCAAGTTCAAGCTGTGCCTGAACTTGATTGGCATTTATGAAGAATGATTTTGCCCATTGGGGTTTTTGCGGAGAAGGTGGAGCAAATTTACTATAAGCCGAAATTAGGCCAAGGTGGAGATTTGTAATATGGCCAAATTTTCATGACATTTGCCATGACATAATATCCATTATAACAAATTTGTGGATCATGAATTTGCCATGACATAATATCCATTATTAGGCCAAGGATTTCTTGCTATAAATAGAGGAGATTCTCCTCATTTGCAAACACACCAATTCAAGAGCTTTTCACTCTTGTCTTTCTTTCTCCTCCTTTATTTCATTATAGAGTATTTTGTAAGAGAGTAAGTGTTGGGAAACACTTGTGTGAACCCTTTCTTTGGAGTGATCTTGTGAGGTTATTCTCTTGGGGTATTTGGGATTAATTAGAGTATTTACTCTAATTTTGTACTCTCTTTTGTACTCTTGTTGGTATAGTAAAATTGTTCATTTCCGCTTGTGGACGTAGGTCACTTTGACCGAACCACGTTAAATTTGTGTCTTCTTTATATTCTTTAATTACCGTTATTATCACCTTCAATTGTCTTTGTTATTGTCATTATACCGTTGTTTGGCTAAATTCCGCATTACCCGGGTTCCCGATCCTAACAGATATGTTAGTACTTCGTGAAAAATATAACATTCTACTATATCAGGAAAAATAATATAATTGTACAAAAGTAAATATGAGAATTACAATATGTGAGTGATGAGTAACACGAAATTTGAAGGCACGCTCCAACTAAAAAACAAATAATAAAGACATGAAATACCAATAAATCAAAAGCAGTTAATTGGAGTAACTAAGACACAAAAAAAATAGAAAATTAAAACGTCACAGTTGATAAAGACTGCAAATTATGGCCATGGGAGGATTTGAAACGGAGACACAATTTCAGAAGAGTTTAAAGAGAGGTCGCAAATAATTATCCAAAAACTAATAAGATTTCATATAACTTGCAAATGTGAAGTTGATTTCTCCATTCCTTATTATCCATCATTTTTTTACACGATGGCCAAAACTAGGTTTTTGCACCAACTTTTAAAGTATTAGTAAAAGGACTTTTATTTTTTTTCCTTTTATTGAATTAAAATATAAAAACATCATATTTGCTAGCTGCCAGAAAAACTTATCCAAAAATTGCACATCAAATTTGTTAATGTGAGTAACGTGAAAATAGATTGGATTTAAGGATATTACTACAAACAAAATTAGTAGTAAATTTTGGAGCAGTAACAAATTAGTTGAACTTGACAAAATAAAAAAGAAAAACAATGGATTCTAGAAGACGTAAAATCACAAAGTCCATTCTTGTAAAAATTAACATGCAAATATATTCCATCTGATACACAATAGTATAAGAGAAAGAAAGCGAGAAAAATAAAAAAGGAAACATATGATGTTGCATAGGGAGTAGGCCAAGTAGAAACCCAATGAACTTTTTGGGAAATGAGAGAAACGTGATACAATGGTTAGAGAATTTGTTGTGTACTTTAAATCTTTAATAGAGCGAAGCCGAAAGAAATAAAACTGAAATGTGCTTCTTAATAATAATTAATTAAAAAAAATTTCAGCCTATTATTACTACCATGGAAGATGAAAGAGAAGAAACTGAAATGTGAAAACACGATATTAGTATAAATTTTGTTGATATTACTTAATTAGAAGAAGGGGAAGAGATTAGACAGCATGATTATTAATTATTAATATATGATATTTTTTTTTATACATGTATAGTTAAATGTTTTGAATCATGTATATTTATAAAAAAAAGGATTGCATTAATTTAAAAAAAATGAAAATTCAAGTTGAGAGAAATAAAAGGAGAATTATCGTAAACACAAGCTCTAGAAATATTTTACACATGCATGAGATGTTTATTAGTAATATTTATTATAGTGAATGTTCACTAATTGCATCACATTCATTATATTGTATTTATATCTAATAAAGTATTTATTGTAATGAGTATTTATATTTCTCTCCAAAAGTATTGTAGTAATAATGTTTAATAGAAGGGCAATACAGTCATTCAACTTTATAAGGACATTTTGGTATTTCAATCTTGATATGAGATGTTCACGTGATATGATAATTAGTCATTCTCGTTGAGTCAAAGGACCGTTTGGTCATAGATTTTGTCAAAATAAATTTGAATTTTATTTGATAAACACATATTTGACCATAGATTTTGTCTACATTTTGATAAAATTTCAAAACCAACTCAATAGCTGTTTTTGGCCAAAATATCACTATTACATTTTTTAAAAATTGCCCCAAACTTTTGTATTTTATAAAAGAGCCCACCATTTATTATTTTGTAACAATGTTGTTTCATCTTCTCGGCCACCTGATAGTGTATCATGCAGTTTATTATAAAAATGATAATTTTGTATCAAATTTATTTATGTTCAGGACTATAATTTGCGATAATATAATGAATGTTATTGATAATGGTATTGTTGGGTATTTGTGATAGTTTTTAAAACTTGTGGGTATAAGTCATGTTTCATATTTTTCCAAAATAAATTTGAAAAATATGTTTTAAAAATTGATGTCCATTTTCATTTTCAAATCAAACTTCACCCAAATTAAATTTTTGAGAACAAATTTGAGAATCTATAATAACGCTAGCTAAGTATTTTGAGATAATGGTGGACCACATCCACTTCAAGCGAAACTCATGCATTATCATTTATTGGTAGCAAAAGCGAAAGACACCATCTATAGTAAAATTTACTTCAACTCAATTACTAAAAACTTTTGATGTCCTTCTATCACCTTCAAAATCAAGCAAATTCCAGAGGTCCACATTCCAGTCTCCACTATGATAGAAGAAAAGGGATACACCATCAACATCTTCACCAACAAAATAAATAATCAACTCAGTATACTCTCCCTCTATAAGAATCTCCCTGTTGTACTCTTTCAACTTACCAAACTTTCTACTTTACAAAATGGCTTCTTTCTATAGTTACACTCTCTCTATTCCGTATTTCGTAATTCTCTCAATCCTCTTTAATCCTTCACAAGGATCGTTTGTTGAGGAATTTTCTGATATTCTAGCCACAAAACGAAGTGAGAAAACGAGCCGCCTCCATTTCTACTTCCATGACATTGTCAGTGGAAAAAATCCTTCTTCAATCAAAGTCATTTCAACAGGAGGAGATGGAATCTACGGTTTTGGTAAAACTTTCATTTTTGATGATGCATTAACGGTAGGGCCTAATGCATCATCTAAGATTATAGGAAGAGCACAGGGGATTTACTCCATCGCTTCGCAGAGTGAGCTTGCATTGCTTATGGTTTTGACCTTTGAATTCATTGAAGGCAAGTATAATGGCAGCAGCATAAGTATTCTTGGGAGAAATTCAGTTCCCAGAGATGTTAGGGAGATGCCTATTGTGGGAGGCACTGGACTGTTTAGGTTTGCTAGAGGTTATGCATTGGCCCATACTTTTAAGTTTGATATAAAGAGTGGAAATGCTATTGTAGAATACAATGTGTTTGTTCAACACTTTTGAAGCATTTTGAGACTGATCATTAGCGCTATAGTTAAGAAAAACTGTGTCTGGAGCTTATATAAAGTAGCAGTCCCAGGCGCAATTAGTTTTTTTTTTTTAAATTATTCCATCCATGGCAAGCTATTAGTTTCTTTTTCACTTTTCTGGGTATTCTAAATTATTGTCTTCTTTTAATCGAAAAGTTTTATTCCTAAATTTACAAGATTATGTGCTATTTGGAAGAGGTGCAACCCACAAATTGGTTCCCTACTTCTTGAGCCCTTGCACAAATGACTAATGATCTTTCAGCTCTTTCCTTTTCTATGTAATAAGACGCCGGTTCTTCTCGGTCATGCTTGGTAATTGTTAAGTTAATCTTCTCCCAATATCTTTCACTGAATCTTCTCCTTTCCCTAATAGTTTTAAGCCAATTTTTTTAAAAAGACGTTCTATATGTTCCTTCTCTTTGCAAAAATCTTGTCCAACAAAAGGGACATGGTATTCATGAGATGGAAATACAGACAAGTTCGAGCTGCCTCCTTTTGTTACCCACACAAAAAGCCCTTCCCCTGAAAAAATCAAAGAGCCTGTACTTCTCGGTTTGAAGAAGAGATGGTTAAAACATACACTACTAGAAACGCTAAAAACCGACCAAATGTTTCCCACCAACGTTGGTCGGTCAAAAAAAGCAACCAAAAACCGTTCAATTTGGACGGAAACTAGAAAAAAAAAATTACATTTTTTTAAAAATAAATAAGAAAAAAAATATTTTACATTTTTTAAAAAATAAATACCGACGAAAGTTGGTCGGTAAATTGGTCAACAAGTTGACCCAGCTGGTCACACTTGCTTAGTCAAAGAAACTTTTGGATTACCGACCAACTTTGGTTGGTAATGTGGACCAAAATTTTTAAATTTTAATAATTATTTTATTATTTAAAATATTTTATAAAATTTAAGAATTTATATTTAAAATTACCAACCAACATTGGTCGGTATATTTTATTTTCTGGAAAATAACCGACTAAAGTTGGTCGGTTATTAGGTCAACATTGATCAAACTTTTGAATCACTTTTATATTTACTATCTAAATAATATAAATGTAATTCGTTAACACTTTTATAATACAAATAANCACAAATTAAAGAAATGAAAGAAGTTATTAGTATTAAGTAAACGAGTTAAATTAATAGGTCAAATATTGTCTAACTTTTAATTTGAATCACATTAATATTTACTATCTAAATAATATAAATATAATTCGTTAACACTTTTGTAATACAAATAATGAATACACTAACATATACTATAACATGCGATATATGTAGTTAAAGTAGTACAACGAAGCGTGTGTGTTATATATATAAACACACTAACATATACTATAACAAGCTATATATATATAGTTAAAGTATTACAATGAAGTGTGTGTGTGTGTGTGTGTGTATATATATATATATATATGTATAGCCGTATATATATAAGAACACGAAGCGATAGGACCACAGGGTCGGATTCTTTTAGGGATAGACTTGTGAAGATCCTAATTAGTATATATAATTTATTATCAAATATATCTATTTGTAAATTGATTCATCGGCTTATAACTTACTTAGATGCATCGATGAATATTAAAAATAAAACGTTTGACATATATCGACTAATAGTAAAAATAAAACGTCTCGACCTATATCGATTAATCTATGTCATGCATTATTAATGATGAACGAATGAAAAAAGAAGTTATTAGCATCAATTACAATATAGTGTATGTGTGAGAGAGAGAGAGAAATTACTCATATACTTAATTATAACTTAGAAAATTTACTTAGATAGATGCTATTATAATTTATTAAAAGTAAATAGTTAATATAATAATTTATAAAGATTATGCTTATAGTTTATAATCATTTATAATAATTGTATAGTTAAATAAAATAAATGCTTATAGTTTATAATTTATTTTTTATAGTTTATAATATTTTAAGAAAAAAACACAAAAAAAAATAGTTTTTTTTAAAAAAAACGACCAAAGTTGGTTGGTTTTTAGTCAAACGGTCAACACTTAATGTACCGACCAAAATTACAGACCAACTTTGGTCGGTAATTCTAAAATCATAATTGAAATACGGGATTCCCCTCATTTCTCTTACCTTTCTTCTCCAAATTTCCCCTAACTTCTCATTTAATACCTTCCCATCTCCTTCTCTATTTCCCTCACACAAATCTCATTCCCCGCCTCGCGTCGCCATCGCCCAGCTGCCGACGTCGCCACTGCCGCGCTGCCTCCTTCTCCACCTCCTAAAAATTTTAGGTTTGAATTACAACTTATTTCTTTGTTAATTCTAGGTTTTGTTAATTAGTTATGAATTAGTTTCAATTGATTAGTGTTTCAATTGATTATTTTAACATTGCATTAATTTTATTGAAATCTAGGGTTTAGGTCTTGTTTTAATTAGTTTTATTAATTAATTAGTTTTGTTAATTAGTTAATCGGTTATGAATTAGTTTCAATTGATGAGTTTTTCAATTTTGAGTTTGTATTGTCTTGAATAGTTTATTTAGAATTGAATTATTAACTTTGTATTGTCTTGAATAGTTTAGTTAGAATCTAGGGTTTAGGATTTGTTCTTGTGAATCAAACTTTTAGGGTATGGGTTAAATTTTTATGATATAAATTGAACTTTTAGTTTATGTTTAAACTCGTAGGATATGAATTGAACTTTTAGTTTTTAGGATTTGTTCTCGTGAATTGAACTTTTAGGATATGTATTGAACTTTTTGGATATGAATTAAACTTGTAGGATATAAATTGAACCTTTAGGGTATGGGTTGAATTTTTAGAATATAAATTGAACTTTTAGTTTATATTTAAACTCGTAGGATATGAATTGAACTTTTAGTTTTTAGGATTCGTTCTTGTGAATTGAACTTTTAGGATATGAATTGAACTTTTTGGATATAAATTAAACTTGTAGGATATAAATTGAACTTTTAGGATATGAATTGAACTTTTAAGATATAAATTGAACTTGTAGGATATAAATTGGACCTTTTGGATATGAATTGAACTTTTAGGATATAAATTGAACGTTTAGGATATAAATCGAACCTTTTGGATATGAATTAAACTTTTTAGGATATAAATTAAACTTTTAGGATATAAATTGAATCTTTTGGATATGAATTGAACTTTTTAGGATATAAATTGAAATTTTAGTTTATAATTAATTATATTTAATATAATTTAATTTTTGGTGTAATTAGAAAAAAAATTATCTTGAATTAACTAAAAAAAATTAATTAATTTATAATTATAGAATAAATAATTTAATCTTGTTTTATTTGTATAGATGGAATATCGTACTTGGATGTACAATAGGAATTATCCTAATTGGCGGGGATTGCGGGAGAATTTTGTAGAAGGGGTTGATGACTTTATTAGACATGCAATGTAACTTCCACCATACCAAAGTGAAGGAGTAATTATGTGCCCTTGTGTCAGGTGCGATTGCATGAAGTTTAAAAAACCGGAGGAAGTTGAGCTTCATCTTTATAGGGAGGGGTTTATAGAGAATTCTTTTGTGTGGACTAATCATGGAGAGATCAATGGTAGCTGTGGGATATTTCATAACATGGTTGTTGGTGAAAGTAGTAGGTCAGTGGAGAATAAAAATCTTGATTCTAGAATTCAGGATATGGTTGCGTATGCTTTTGGGATGCACTCCGGGGGTGAGCCCAATGAAAATGTTGAACAAACTCCTAATGATGACGCAAAATATTTTTATGAATAGTTAGAGGAAGCTAGTCGTCCACTACGTGAAGGAAGTCCGCACTATGAGCTGTCTGTTGCAATTAGTTTACTAAGTATCAAATCTGATTGGAATATTTCTCAAGCAGCCATGGACTTTTTCATTGACCTTATGAGTGAACTAGTTGACCCTAATATCAACTTACCTGGTGATTTCTATAAGGCAAAGAGATTGCTTTCTAAGTTAGGACTTTCGTCAATGAGAATTGATTGTTGTGAAGATGGTTTGCATGTTATATTATAAAGATGATGCAACTTTAGACAATTGTAAATTTTGTGAAAAGCCTCGTTTCAAGAGGCTTTCTAGCGGGAATATGGTTGATGTCAAGGCGATGCATTATTTACCTCTTATACGTAGGTTAAAGAGGTTATATGCGTCGATGAGTTCTGCTCATCATATGAGATGGCACTTTGAAAATAGAAGACCACCTGGTATTATGTGTCATCCTTCAGATGGAGAAGCTTGGAAGCACTTTGATAGGACATATCCAGATTTTGCTAGTAAACCAAGGAACATTCGGTTAGGTCTGTGAGCGGATGGCTTTACGCCTTTTTTCTATATATGTGACACCATATTCATGTTGGTCTATCTTTCTTACACCTTATAATCTACCACCTAAGTTGTGTATGACTAGTCCATATATATTCTTAAATTGTATTATCCCGGGTCCACGTAATCCAAAAAGTTTGATTGATGTATATTTGCAACCTTTGATTAATGAGCTAAAACAATTGTGGTATGATGGTGTTGAAACATATGACATATCAACCAAGCAGAATTTCAATTTGTGTGCTAATTTAATGTGGACTATTAACGATTTTCTTGCTTATGGAATATTGTCTGGGTGGATGACTGCAGGGAAGCTAGCTTGTCCTTACTGCATGAAAAATGGTAAAGCGTTCACTTTGAAACATGGCCGAAAGCAATCATGGTTTGATTGTCACCTTCAATTCTTGCCTGATGATCATGAGTTTAGAAGGATGAAAAATGCATTCAAAAAGAATAAAGTGGAATATGATTTTCCACCTCCGATACTTTCAGGTGAGGAAATTTGGGAGAGGGTCCAGAACTTCAGTAAAGTTACTAAGGCTCCATCTTATAGATTCCCCGAATATGGTGTTACTCATAATTGGACGAAACAAAGTATATTTTGGGAGTTGCCTTATTGGAAGGATAATCTTCTCCAACACAACCTTGATGTTACGCATATTGATAAGAATTATTTTGACAATTTGTTCAACACAGTGATCGATGTTAAAGGTAAGACAAAAGATAATCTGAAGGCTAGAATGGACTTACAAGAATATTGCATGCGGCCTGAATTATACTTGCAGACAAAAAACAATTGTAAGGTGTTCAAGTCCAAAGCAAGTTATACATTCACTTTGGAGGAAAGACGATAAATTTGTGATTGG